ACACTAGGCTCTCAGGGGCAGTGCCATTTAGTGTCCCCACACTAGGCAGTGTCGAGGACTGCTAGTGCTGGCCTCTAATCCCAGATACTCAGAAAGCTGAAACTGCAGAGAGCCAAAGCTCAGCCTGGCCACATAGTGAGACCCTATATCGAAAAGAAGAAAAAAGAAAAGAAAGAAAAGCAAAAGGGCTGGAGATGCACTTGCTTAGTATGTAGTGGTGGCTTTCGGTTCAGTCCCCAGTACTACAATACAACAGAAACAAAGCAGTTGTACTGGAAGTTAAGCCTCAACTGCTATGTGAGAGTGGTTGTCTCAGTTCCCTAGTTTACTTTGTATCTCAAGCACTCAAGTAGTACTGGCATGGAGTGGACATTTGATGCATTCTTTGACTTATCAAAGAAAAGTAAAATGGAGATTCCGTGCTTTCTTCAGACTTTTGGTGAGACTTACAGTTGAAAAGTTGCTGGAGTTAAGAACTCAGCCAGACAGAAGCTGCGCTGATAGTGTGTCTTTTGTCTTGCCTAGAACTCTTTGGCCATCGTACTCTTCGCATTGTGTTATTTCAACAAACACCAGCTTGTATTTATCTAGGCTGCAGAGTCTTTTTGCTTTTAATCTGTTTCATTTCATTTTCTTTTTGCAGTTCTAAGAGTGGAGTGGTAAACATATATAATCAAGACTCTTGCCTCCAACAAACAAACCCAAAGCCAATAAAAGCTATAATGAACCTGGTTACTGGTGTTACTTCCTTGACCTTCAATCCCACTACAGAAATCTTGGCAGTGGCTTCAAGAAAAATGAAAGAAGCTGTCAGATTGGTAATAACTCCTTTTACCCTTTTCTTTTATCTTGATAATTTAAAATTTCATTGTGAAACATTGAATCGTAACAGAAAAGAAGTGTTGGGTTGTTCTGAGGAGTGATTTTTGAGCTGGAGATACTGTTTAGTTAGTAGAATCCTTGCCTGGAATACATAAGGCCCTGGATTCAGTCCCTAGTGCCAAAGCAAATTGGGAATGGTGACACATTCGTTGGCTATATAGCTAACTGAAAGCTGGCCTGGGTACGTGAAAACCCTGTCATGAAAAGCCAAAAAGCCACAGCAACAAGGCACTAGAAAGTTAAGTTTTGTAGAGATGATTATTTGGGAGCTTTTGGGCTCAGTTGTTACATTAGTACAAGTACCCACTAAGTTTTGCAGTGCCTCTTCTCTTGGAAATTCTGAGCTGTCCATTGTCAACATTTTTTTTAGTTATGGTCCTCATTTTCAGAGATTTCTTGTACATATAAATTCAGGAACATACTTAAGCCAAGCACTTTATTTGCATTTTCTTTATGCTTTCTAAAGGCCTGTAGCTACAGTAGAGTGGAGATAGTTCTTAAGATTTTGAAAGTAAGTTGAATTGACATACGTAGAGGTGCTACAATTTAAATAGCTAGACAGGAATGGTGAATGCTGTGTCAAGAATGCTTTTGACCACCCCCAGTTTTGATGATTTCATTTAATGATGAAAAGACACAGGACCCAGTATTTGGCTATCTGTATGGCTAGGATTTATTACAGCCATAGCATACTAAGCAGAATCAGAAAAGGGAAGAGCTGCACAGGTAAAGTGTGGAGCTGCCTGGGAATCTTTTCTACAGAGTTGCACAGGATGCTGTGATACCTCCGGGAGTAAGGTGTGACTTCCTACGAAGTGTTTCCTACCTGTGAGGCTCTTTAGAGACCCAAAGCCCAGAGTTTTGGTTGGGGGTGCATGTGGAACCCCCTTCTTAGCATTGGCTGAATTCTTTGTGCCTAGGAGCAAAGCCAGGTATTAGGCATAAATCACTTCATTTATACAGCTGATTTGGGCTACCTGACCCCAGTGTACTGTTCATTTCATTCATAGAAAGTAGGGCACTATTTACCCAGACATCATCCAAAGGCCTCTCTTACAAGAAGGCCTTCCTGGGAATACTGGTGTCAGGACCACATTTTTGGTTCAACCTTAGAGTTCAGTTCTCACCATCATATCTGGAAGTCTCCTGCTCCTCAGAACCAGTTTCTTCATTTGACAACTATTTGCTCTTAGGCACAGGTGTACAGATTCTGTCTAACTTTGAGTAGCAGTTTTGTGTTTGTAATTTCCTACATTTATATATTTTGATCCTGATTACACACACATCTTCTTTGGTCTTGCTGCTCTACAGGGAGTCCTTTCGTCCGGGCTAGTGCTCTTCCCAGCACGTGTTTATTGGATACATTCTTTGTGCAAAGTGCTAAGTTTTATTCTTGGTTCCTTCTCACTGCCTGCGTTTTTAGGGTTGGCCTTTTTTTTTTTGTTCTCTCTAACCAGGCAAGGTTTCTCTGTGTAGCTCTGCCTGTTTTGCCCGCATATTTGTTCCATGTGCATGCTTGGTGCCCATGAGGGTCAGAAGAGGGTGTCAGACCCCCTGGAACTGGAATTACAGATAATTTTGAGCCTGCATGTGGGTGCTGGCAACTGAACTCAAAGCCTCTGGAAGAGCAGTCAGTGGTTTTTACCATTAAGCCAGCTCTCTGGCTCCTGTAACAGAGTAGAGTGCTATTGTTGTGCTTACTTTTCTTTATTGATGTTTGAATGTAGTGTTTTGTTAGCCTTGTCCTCCATTCCTTATATTTTTTTCTTCTTGGTCAACTCTGTTGGTGATACTTTTGTGCTCTTTTTTTGGGAGGGATGGGTGTGTGTTGGGGGAGACTAGGTCTTACTGTGTTTCCCTGCCTGGCCTGGAACTCATGTTATCAGTCTGGCTTCAAACTCAAAGGAGATCTGTCTGCCTCTGCTTCCGTTACAGTTAAAGGCATGCATGGTTTAGCCAATCTGTTTTTGTTTAGTAAGCTAGTGAAATCTTTTCCAGACATCTTCCCTATTTTGGTATGTTGAAAAGTACTGGAACAGTTGTCAGTCTTTTAGTACGAGTCATGTTGCTTTCTTTTTTTTTGTGTTCATGCTTTTGTGTTACTTGGACATCTGTGCTTTGGATGTCTCATCCAGTTTTACTGAGGGATTTCATTGAGCAGCCTGTTCTTAAGGAATTAGAATCTATCTAGTACCACTGAGAAAGGAGAAACTGTTGTAATAGTTACACCAAACTGAAAAATGTAGAAATATACTTGAAATGAATTAAAGACCACTGACAAGTCACCAGTGACTATAAAACAAAATGGAGAATGCTGCCCAGTTTTTAAAAATCAAAAACAAAAAACCAGAAATGTTCTAGTGATGAAAAACGTAAGGAAACAAAGTTAGAGATGACATGATGGCAAAATCTTTGCTGTTCAGATGTGAAGACTGAATTCAAATCCTCAGAGCCCATACTAGACTCAGTGTGAGAGGGAGTGGGTGCGGGAGAGTCTGTGGGGTTAGAGACCCTGTCTAAACGTGGTAGAGAGCAAGTACTGATGCCTGCCCCTGAGGTTGTCACTGACCTCCATGGAAACTGCTCACCCACACTCATACACGCGAACATGCATGCACACAGACAACAGATTTAGTTAGGGACTACTTGGCTGCATTTGTGGAGCAGTGCTTCTATGTATGTCACAGTCAAAGTGACCTCTGTTTTATATCAAGGTAGAATGAAAACAATTTAAGAAAGATGAGTTCCTAGTTTTTGTAATTTAAGGCTTTTTTTTGATGTCCTGCAGGTTCATCTTCCTTCCTGTACAGTATTTTCTAACTTCCCGGTTTTTAAGAAGAGTGTTGTTTCTCGTGTTCAAACCATGGATTTTTCTCCCAGAAGTGGATACTTTGCCTTGGGGAATGAGCAAGGCAGGGCCCTGCTGTATAGGTAGGTTATTTTTTCATGTTTAAAAATTGTATCTCTATTAAACTGCTTTTGAAAATGAGAAGAGAATAAGTATTCCCAATTCTATAGTTACATAAATAATTTATTAATTCTGTAATTATTGCATATTCAGCCTGACCCATCCTTATTATCTAACTGCGTTTTTCTCCCATAAACATGCTACTGGCAGAAAAATTCACCTAAGAAATAAAAATTGTGTGTATGGTTTGTAGCTTGTCTTTTTCCCCACTAAGTGTTAATTTTTAGAATGCCAGATCAAGGAAAAGTAGCCACTGTAATAATACTTCCTTGGTAGTTTGAAACTGACATTTGCTGATTTGACAGTCACTGTTTACTCCACTGGATTTAAATGAATTTTGAAAAATAGATGTTTTTGTATCTAACTGTTTAAATTATCTAATATTTATACCAATAAAGATACCTGAGGCATAAACTGAGGTAAAAACTTGCTAATTCAACGAGATAACCTCATTTTCTGAACTGTATGCAAAATTCCCATTTACAAGCCTGATTCTACAACTAAACCCAAACTACTAGCTCTTTAGCAATCTCTCTGTCATTTTACCTAGCTAGTACTATCTTTCTCTTGAGCTCCTCCAAACCCAAGAGGGCTCTTTAGCTCTTTCCTAGAGTTCTGTTTTGCCTGTGTCCCGCCAGCTGCTTCTGGGTTGTTACTGCAAGCCCAAAGAGAGGGTTTCTATCTCTCATCCGGAGCTCCACCAAAAAGACCCTTCCAAGCCAAAAAAGAGAGAAAGCTCTATCAGAGGTCTAATTGCTTAAAGAAGTCTCCAGTCCCTCCCCTATATCCTTGGCAGGCTGAACCATGTCACCATAATGGGGTGGGGCCTCCAAGCCAAGTCAGTAGGGGCAGAACCATTTCACCTTTCAAGTGAGGTAGGCCACCTAGCTGACTGAGCAGACTACAAGACCTCTCCCAAGCAACTTGCCTTAAAATAGACAGGAACTTCCCATTCTAAAGAATGGCATTCTTATCTATAGAGGTTTTAGAGGCACACCCAAACTACATCTCTTGAGGACACACCTAACTGCATCTGACAAACACAATATCTATTTAGGCTTTTATACTTAACTACAAGGTTTTCTATGTATAATAATCAAATATCCTTTAATACTCTCCCTAAAGTATAAGCTTTAAATAAAGGAGTGAGGCACAAAGATATCTAAAAGTTAGGTTGTTTGTGTTTCCTTTCTTTACCCAAATATTTCTCTTTAAAACAGGCACAAGCAAAATTTATTTGCACCATTGCTGAATAATACAAGTTGACAGGTGGATCTTGAAGGAGAACTGAAACTTGAGTAGGAGACTGCCCTGAAATGCCAGTCCCTTTCCCTTGTGTTGATTATGAGTTCTGCATAGAACCCCAGTGTGTGTGATGTCCAGGGAATGTTGCAGCTGGAAGGAAAGGAATGGAAATTGGTTTTACAGATAGTTGTGAAATGAGAACATAGCAGACTATGGGTTAAACTGCTGCCTGCTTTGGAAGGAAAATGAGTTATACCAGGGTAATTTTGTCAGCTTCATATCGGATTAGTTTGGAATCAAGTGCAGATTTTACTAAAAAGAGGAGCTCTTTGAGAGCTTTTTTGGTTTCTTAGAGCTGAAAGGCTCTTTAAGTATTGTATTTTTCAAATTGTGCTCTAGAATGAAACTGACCTGCCTGTGCTGGTGATTTGGATTGATAGCACTTCTATTTAGTGTGGCTGATGAAGTATTTTGTCAGGCCCAGTTTGACCCTCTGGAGCCATCATAGTAGTTTGTGTGTAGGAATCTAAACACATTTGTTTTTTTGAGAGTAACTGGAATCACCCCCAACTCCCACCACCATCTTCTAAGTGCTGCTTTATGATCAAATTAAGTATTCTCTGGGTAATTAAGAAGTTATCTTTTCCTTTTTCAGGTTGCATCATTACTCAGACTTCTAAAGATTTCTTTTTTGAAGTAAGAAAATTCTCTTTTAAAATAAATACCATGGGTTTTAGGGTTGCACCATCGATGTCATTGGTAGAGGTGCCAATTGACTTAGCTCTGTTTCTCTGCCCCTAGGTCAGCTTTACACCCTCAGTTAAGGGCAGTGGGGTCAGTGGGGTGCAAATAGAACAGGAGTTGTCCAACTGACTTGAACTTCCTTGGGAATTTCTAATCTCTAGTCACAGTGTTCTGCCTTCTCTTCTGAGGTCACATTTTTAGTATTGCATTCAGTAATTGTCATCAAAACTGTAGTTACTGAATATGTAACCCACAAAAGAAAGAAGAATTGACAGAGCTACAGTTTTTGTGAACTTAAACTCTGACCTGGGGAGTTATTAAGTGTTATTGAACAGAGCTGAAGAATGAAATAGACTTTGCTGGCCAATGTTTAAAACAGCATGTTTCCTGTATTGCTCCATCTTGGACATGACACAGGGGTGGTCCTAACACGGAAGCTTTGCAATTAGTCTTTTTACCATGGCTTATTGTTTGGCCTTCTTAGATTTATAATGTTGAAGAAGAGACTATAAAAGTACAGGTAAGATTTGATTAGAAAAAGGAATTTTTAAAATGGAAGGATCTTGAGCAATGTAACCAGAAAAAGAAAGCATTGCAGCTATCTTGATTCTCTAAAATACAACGGCAGGGCACATTGCTTGTGATAACTAGCAGTTATAAATGAGCTTGTGTAACTTTTTCTATTCTTTTTCAGATCCAGTTGAAAAAGCCCATTTCAGCACATCTTCCCAGAAATTTTCAAGTGTGTGTAATAATAACTTGTGAAATCTACTTAAATTAGCAGCAATGTCTTAATAAATGTATAACTTTTGTTTGAAAATAAGTGTACATGATTCTTTCCAATCTATGCGCGCCCACACACACACGCCCAGTCAGGCACACAACTTAAATACATTTTCTTTAAAACTAAATGTGAGAGACTGGAAACATCTGTGTATAATAAAAAAAAAAATAACATAAGTGAATAGTTCATTAATAATCCTCCTGTGCAAAGAACAGCCTTTCAAAACTATCCATTCACCTTTTTTTTTTTTTGTTTGTTTGTTTGTTTGTTTTTTTGAGACAGGGTTTCTATGTAGCTCTGGCTGTCCTATAACTTGCTATGTAGACCAGGCTGACCTCACAGAGATCTGCCTGCTTCTGCCTTTCGAATGTCGAGATTAAAGGTGTGTGCCACCATACCTGGCTCCAGCACTAATTCTTTATTCAAGATTTTTTTCTGCAATCCTATGTATATAGGTATATAAAATCAGTATAGAAGCATTTACTGATAACAAATCATAAGTTTACTTTAAAACAGTTATTTGGTATACATATAAATTTGCCACTTATTAGGGGGCAAAAGCACGTTTGTATATTGAATAGATATATGTGTTTATTTTTACGTAAGGAATTGTTTCTTGTCTGAATATTTGGTACAGCAAGACATAATGCATATTCATTGTTTTAAGGCCTGACATTTTGATTTTTTAATAACTGGTGAGAATATTGTTTTACCTAAGTACATAGAAAATGGGAGAAGTATATTTATGACTGTTTATCAAAAATGAGAAATTCTGTTCCAATCCTAAGCCAAAGTTTATGGAATTACTAAAACAGAGTTTTTACTGGTTTTAAAGAAGTTATACATGTTTTGATCAAATTAATTTTCTCTCAACTCGCACGGATCCATCCCTCTTACACACCCAACTTTGTGTCATCTTTTCTTTTTCTTCAAAAACAACCCATCAAGTCCAGGTTGTGCTGCCTGTGTAGTCTTGGATATGTGTCCCTTTAATGAGTCCCTTTAATGAGACTTACCAGAGGCTACTCTTCCACTGAAATGGACTCTTCCTCCTCCAGTGGCTTCCAGTTACAAGTAGCATCACTGTGAGTGGGACTTGATGCCTACCTCTCTCCATGCTGTGATTTGATTTGACTTGAGCCTTTGTGCATGCTCTTAACTGCTGTGAGTTCATAACATGCAGCTGCCCTTTGGTGTCCAAGATACACTTTCTTTGTAGTCTGTCACTGCCTCTATACTCTGCCCCTCTTCTGCAATAGTCCTCAAGCCTTGGAAAGAATATATATGTTACATATGTTCTGTTCAGAGCATTCTGCATTCTCTTGTTCTCTGTACCTTGACTAGTTACGGGTTTTCTCATAAATTGCCATTTGTGACAAATAGCTACTCTGATGTGGGTTGAAGCATTAATCTGTGGATGTACTGGTGAGTTATTAAGAGTCAGTTTAATACAAAGTTCACTAAGCATGCAACACATTTAGAGCATAGTACACATTGGAGAAAAGAGCCTCTTAATGGTGAAGGTCAAACTGGATAGCTACACAAAGAAGAACACTGATCTTGTCTCTCACCCTGCATAAAATTCAGATCCGAATGAAGGGAGCAGTGGTTCTCAGCCTGTGAGTTGCAACCCCTTTTGGGGTTGAATGACCCTTTTAATGGGGGTTACATATCAGATATCTGCATACCAGTTACATCATGATTTACAGCAGTAACAAATTTGCAGTTAGGCAGCAAGGAAAATAAATTTATGGTCAGGGTTACCGTAACACAAGGAACTATATTAAATAAAGGGTTGCAGCATTAGGAAAGTTAAGAACCACTGCCCTAGAGAATACATTTAAATTCATTGGCACAAGAAAAGATGTCTTGAACATGACCTTTTATAGCACAAGCATTAGACCAACAAGCGCACAAAACTCAACTCCAGATAGGTAAAGGACGTAAGACTTCATACTCTAGGAAGTACATTTGGACTCGTTCAAGGAAAGGATTTTGAATAGTACTCCAGTAGTGCAGGCATTGAGGTCAACAATAAATGGACCTCTTGAAACTAAAGCGTTAGTACAGCAAGGGATGGCTTACAGAATCTGAAAAAAAAATACATACTAGCTATCCATCTGACAGGGTTAGTATCTAGAATATACAAAGAACCCAAAAAATAAATGTCAAGAAAACCCAATTAAAAATAGGGCATGGAACTGAATGAGCTTTCAGAAGATGACACCCAAATGGCGGAAAAACGTTCTAAAAATGTTCAACATCCTTAGCCATATGGGAAATGCAAATTCTTTAGTGGTTTCTTTATGAAATGAGTCAGCAATTCAGTTTTTAAAACTAATTGTAAGTAGTAACCATCCAAAGACAAAATAACTTGATTCATTCTGATAAATAATAGGAAAATATTAGGTTTTTGTATTCCCTAATTAAGCCATTACATTTCTGTAAGAGCAGAAAGATTTGTATATACAGTAAAAACACCGAATTGACTGTGAGCCGGAGTTTTGGGCAATATTGCCTGGAATGGTACAGTGACACACTTCGCAAAGCACGTGTGCTTGGTGCTAAAGCTGTAGGGAAGTTGGTGGTGCAATAGAAATGAGCACTGTCAGATACACTGCCTGACTTGGTATATGTTGACCCCCAACCCCATTTGGACGCTATACATTCAGAAACCTTTTACTCTTGCCAAATATTTTGCAACCTTCCTATAATGAGTTACATGGCTCCATCGGGGTCAGCATCCAGCTGAGATGTGTTTTGGGATTTCTGCTGACGGGCTGTGGAGGTCAGGTGGCTTCATGGAGTCAGCTGTAAGAGTTCCTTTCCAGAGACTACTGCTAGGTGTCCCATGCAGGCTAGAGAAGCACTCTACACTGAGCTACAGTCTCAGCCTCTCTTGCTAGAATCTTGTCTGGCTTGCAGCCTATTTCTCGAACTACATGCTCTGTGAAGATGAGCAATCTGGTTGTGGTGAGCCTTCTCCCTATTCCCCTTTTAGCAAAGAACTACATAATGTGCTAATACTCCAAATTCGTGAAACCAATGGCCTTTGAGTGTTATTTTTTTCTTCAGCCACCAGAGGGTAGCAGTGGATTCCTTGAGTTTTGAAGGGCAAGGCATTTTGTAGCTTTTCACAGTCTCCTTGTTCCTAGCTTCAGCCAAATTATGGCTTGTCTTAGAAATGAACACCAAGCTATGTATACGTATGTGCTTATTTTGTGTGTGGTTTTTCAGGCACCACGAGTTTTAAAATGTATAAGAATTTATTTTTATAGAGAAAGCGATAGAAGAAAAGTTTAAGTTTTAACTGTATTTCATTAAAACCTCTATCGATTTTATACTCTACTAGGACAGTTTTTTAAAGAAATTCACTGTTTTTACCTCCAGTGCTGAGGAATTGTTGTTCTACAGGCACACTACTGAACCTGTTTCTTGCCTTTAACTTTCTTTTTTTTTTTTTTTTTTTTTTTTTTTTTTTTTTTTTTTTTTTTTTTTAACTTTCAATGGACATTAGGGAATTTGAGTTGGGCTCTCATTGCCTTTCCTTACCACCAGAGCCAAGCTATTAGTTCATGGAGATTGGTGTACATAAGAATTTCTTCACACTCGTCTCTATTTGAAGTTGCTTTGCTAGCATGACTGCAACTCAGTCCCTGCTTTGGGGCAACCATTTTTAGCCTTAAAGTGATGATTTGCTGTGTACAATTATAGGTCTTTCAAAGAAATGTCTTGTGCTTAAATTATAGGTGAAAATTATGTGCCTTACTAGAACTAAGTGTAAATGTTGAACGTGCTTTTAGTACATGAAGATATGAAGCCCCCTCAAAGCTGCAGAGAATGATTGGATGAGCTGCAGTGGCTGTGACTTGCATTTCTCTCCCTTTGTGGCTTCAGCTTGGGACAGAGGCCAAGTGCAAATGCATCTCTGAATCTTCATCACTTGAACAAAACATTGTTACTCCAAACTGGAAGTAATGGATGCTGAACAGATGTAGGGAAAAGGTGGAATGTATGGGGTGAAAACCCTCTGGAGCTTTGCCAACTGACATCAACAGGTGGGTTGGGGTTCGTGTAATTCTCAGCACTGTAAGAATCAGTGCTCTGACTTTATTGGACAGTTTGGAGGCGGTTGCCAGCAGTTTCACATGCAGTGCTACAGACATCCTCTACACAGACCAGTGAGCGGTCCTTCCAGCGGGGAGTGCACACCCTGAGTGTGAGCTTGGAGCAGTAGAGATCATGTGCTCTGCTCAAGCAGTTTGCTTCATAATGGTTCATTCTGTAAATTGTGCAGGTAGTTTATAAGCATCTGTGTTTGCACGGAGGTTGTGTTTAATGTGCTTTCTTTAAAAAACGCCTGCTGCCAGTGTATAGCCACACCAAACACATTTCTGTGCCCTTCCCTCCTCTCAAATTCTTTGTATCCTTATAATGTTAGTGACTCTATTGCCCCAGTCGCTTGAGCTAGGTAGTAAGACTGACTATAAACATGAGATTTTTCTCTCCCTGTCACATCCAGTTACTGCTTTTTTTACCCTATTAAAATATCCTCCAATATATTTCCACTTTCTTAGTTCTCATCTGCTGTCAAGTTGAATAGTTCCCTATTGCTAAGAACTATTTTCTTAGTTCATACTCTTTGATCAGCTCTCCTCTTTGCAGCCAGAGATTTAAGAAAGTGTTTATTTTTTGAAACATACCAGAAAGGTAAGGGACATGTGTTCATCACAGCTCCAATAATTAACAGCTCATACTAACTGAACTGGTTATTTTGAAGCAAAGCCCAAATTATTCCATCAGCGAATACTCAGTATGTATGGAGATGTTTTTTACAAATACAAATCTCAGATAGGGTGTGGTGGTGCATGCCTGTAACTTCACACTCAGAAGGCTGAGGTAAAAGGATTGCCAGTTTGGGGCCAACTTGGGCTACATGGCTATATAGGAAGACTTTTAGGAAAAATAATATTTACACACACACACACACACACACACACACACACACACACACACACACTTACTCTAGTTCAAAT